TAGTGTGGCGCAATGCAGCATGGAGCCGCTGGCGTCCCCGCACAAAGGGCCCCGCGCATCACAGCCCCCCCACCCTCACGCTACCGCCCCCCGCCGGCCTGCATGCAGGCTGAGCAACCCGTGGCCGGAGCTGGCCCGATACGTGGAAGGCGTGGACCTGGCCTCAGCTGAGGACCAGCTGCACAGCCATGTGCCCTACGGTGCGTCCGCCTGGGCCCCGGTGCCGCTGTGTTGCCGGTGCCGGCGCTGGTGCAGGGAACGCCTGGCCCCTCCCTGTGCTGGCAACCACATCGACACACCGGCAGCGCCAGCCAGCCGTCGCTGCACTTTTGTATTCCCCGGCCAGAAGCCCCACGCCTGCCCACTCCCGCCGCCCCGCGCGTGCCGTGCCTGCAGCCGTGCTGCTAGCCAAGGCGGCCAAGCAGTGGCAGGAGCAGCACGACGGCAAGCTTCCCGGCAGCTACCCGGAACGTGCCGCCTTCAAGGACATGATACGGTCCTGGCAGCGCCACATAGACGGCATCCCGCTGGAGGTGCGTGAGGGTGTGTGTGGGTGTGTGTGGGTGTGGGAGTGGGCTGCAGGGTGGAAGGTATGTGCTGATGCACCTTGACCAAGCATGGATGATTCAGATGGGGAGCCGCTCTCTGCAGCCCACTCACTCTAGCACAAGCAAGCATGGCGTGCACAGTAACCACCCCACCACCTGCCGCCGCCCTCTGCACCCGGGCAGGAGGAGAACTTTGCCGAGGCCGCCAGCAACGCGCACAAGGTGTGGGCGCCGCCCACCGTCTCCCCCGAGCTGCGGGCGGTGCTTGAGGACCCGTGCGCCGCCAGCATCACGCAGCAGGCGAGTGGTGGGCGGGGCGGGGGGCGGGCAAGCATGCGGATGGCGCACGCATGCCATGCGCGTGCCTGGGCGCGCCCGCTGCGCTGCGCTGCGCTGCGCGGCTGGATGTGCCGCACCAAGGTGCACAGTAGCCACCCGACCCCAGCGCACCGCCGCCCTGAAGCTGCCCCCTGCCCTGCCCTGCCACACTCCCTCCCTCGAGCCCCTGCAGTCCCCTGGCTTCTGGGTGCTGGTGGCGGCGCTGCGCCGCTTCATAGAGGGGGAGGGCAAGGGGCTGCTGCCGCTGGAGGTGCGGGGCTATGGCTGCTGCCGCTTTGAGTGCCGCGCAACGCCTGCCTGCCTCGGCGTTTTTCCTCAGGAGAGAGCCAGCCCAGCTGCAGCCTCGCTCACACCCGCCCGCCTGCCTGGCGGTGTGGGGTGTATTGCTGCAGGGCAGCATACCCGACATGCACGCCAGTACGCAGCAGTACCTAGAGCTGCAGCGCATCTACCGCGCCAAGGCAGACGCAGGTGGGCGCCTGCTGCGGTGCCTGCCTGCTCCTTGCCGCCTGCCTGCCTGCCTGCCTGCTTCCGTTGCTCCACTTCGCCGCCTGCCTGCCCATGTCGTGTGTCTGCACCATGCTGCCGAGCCTGCTGCCGCGCAGACGCGGCAGCGGTGGAGGCGCATGCTCGGGCCATCCTGGAGGGCGCGGGGCGAGACCCCGCCGCCATCCCCGCTGCCGACATCAAGCACTTTTGCAAGCACGCACGCTACCTCAGGTGCGTGGTGGCGGCGCAGCGCAGCGCTGAGCTGCGCATGCAGCAGCGGTGATGCCGGTGCGCTGGCTCCCTATGCCTCAGCGGGCTGCCTCTGCTGTGCTGCTGCTGGTACTGCTGCTGCTGCTGCTGCTGCTGCTTCCCAGTGCAACAACCCTCACCGGCCCCCTCCCGCCCGTGCATGCAGGCTAGTGCGCTGCCGCTCGCTCGCTGAGGAGACGGGAGCGGGGAGCTGCCGCGGCGGGGCGCTGCGTGCGGCGCTGGCGGCAGAGGACACCGCCGCCTCTGCCGCCCTGTACGTGCTGCTGCGCGCCGCCGACCGCTTCCACCAGACCTACCAGCGCTACCCGGGGTCATACGACAGGTGGGTGGCTGCATGGAGGCCCTGCTGCTGGCTGAGGGGCAGGCCGGGGGCAGGGAGCTGGCTGCCTGGCGGGCCGGCGGCCGCGCACTCAGCTGCATCGAGCTGCGCCACCCTTCCGCAGCACTGCCCAACTTTCCAATCCCGCTCCTTGCGCCTTGATTTGCCTTGCCCGAGCTTCCTGTGCTGTGCCGGATCTCACGCCCGACCCCTGCGCCCCTCCACGCCCTCCCGCCACCGCAGCGAGGTGGAGGAGGACGCCGCGCTGCTGAAGAGCCAGGCCCAGGCGCTGCTGGCAGAGTGCGGCGCGGGCGGCGGCGCCGCCGGCGTGGCCGACGACCTGGTGGGGGAGGTGTGCCGGTGCGCGGCGGGCGAGCTGCACGTGGTGGCGGCGGTGGTGGGCGCGGTGGCGGCGCAGGAGGCCATCAAGATAGTGACGGGGCAGTTTGTGCCACTGGGGGGCGTGCTCATCTACAACGCCATGGCCTGCACCTCCTCCGTCTTTGCCTTCTAGCCCGCTTCTAGCCTGTCGCCGAGCCCTGCCATAGCCTCTAGCCTGTCGCCGCGCCCTGCCGTCTAGCCAGCCAGCCAGCCAACCCACACTTGTCATGCCTGAATTCGGCACAATTAAAAGAGAGCAGTGCAAAGGCAGATAATTGTAGCCAGCCCTCCTGCCGCATCTGGCCTGCATCGGGCAAGGCTCTGTGAACCTGCGTAGCTGGCACCTGCTGGCCGTGGTGTGCATGCTCTGTTGCATTACAGAGCGCAAAGGGCTGGGTTCAGAAGGGGAGGGCCGCATGTGCGGCGCAGCAATCCCGGGGCCAGCGAATGGCCATCACACTCATTTGTGGATGGGAATCAAACAACTGACGAAAGTGCTGGGCGGAGGAGTGGAAAATCGAGGGGAGCAGAGGTGGGGCGGCCAAGGGGCACTCTGGAAAGGGCAGACGACTCAGAGGAGGACAGGCTGGGTGGCAGCAAAAAGAGCTGATCTCATAGGATAGGATGCTGGGTGTGGGATTCGTCGGTGGCTGTGTTGGGCACGTGTGGATGGGCGCCGGATGGCTGCAGTCACGGCGCCTCTCAGAAGAGGCGGCTTGGGTTCAGCGCGATGGGGGTGTCGGAGCCCTGGCGCGGCATGCTGGCGAGCAGCTCCGCGGTGGCCTTCTCCCACGCTGGGTTCAGGACAGTGTGGGGCAGCCTGGAATTGCACAACAGAGCAGCGGGCGGTAAGCGCAGCGCGAGCGTTGATCGGATCAGCAGGCCGCTGGCATCCGGCTGGCTGCCCCGAAAGACAGGAAGACACACCCTCCCAACAGGCTGCTCAGTGGCCTGCAGTGATCTGCTGCTGTGCTTTCAAGATAACAGGGGCTCCTGCCATGCAAAGCGCGCACTTGGTGGAGGCGTCCTTGGTGAGCAGAGACCAGCAGCCGTAGGCAGACACAAAGCCGGCGGCCACGCCGGGCAGCTGCGCGGAGGAGGGTGGGAAGGCGGACAGGCAGCTTGAATGTGTCGGCTTGGCAGGCAGTCAAGTTGAGTGATGCACGGGGCGGGTGCGTGTGGCGAGTGGCGGCGGGTTGCCCCGCCGCCCCGCCACTAGGCGCCGCCGGCTTGCAGGGGCTTCTGGGGCGCGCATCGGCGCTCCAGGGAGATGCCTGAGCCTCGCATGAACGCAACGCGCTGCAAGCCCAGCCATCTACCACAACCCCCACCGGCCCCTTCAGCCGCAGCCCCCATGGCGCAGCATGCGGGCGCATTTCCACATCCAGCATTACATGCGACAGAGGGACGCACCAGCTTCGCAGCAGGGGCGGAGGACATATTGTGGGTAGACAAGGGGTGCGAGGTTGACTGCCAAGGAGGTGCAGGGGCTGGCGGCGGATGCCAAGGACTATCACAAGAGCTGCAGTTGAAGGGGATGGGGCGGGGGTGAGTCAGGGGCCTCTTGCGGCCGCCAGGGTGGGTCCTGTTCCCAGGGCCCAGGCGTATCCCCGTATGAGGTAACTTTCCATTTTCGGGGGCGGAAAGTTGTAAGTTCCCCACCAAGTTGCCTGGGCAACTGCGACCCTGCCAAGCCTTGATCGCCGTTGCACTGCACTTGCAACTTACACCAGAGCCGCAATGGAGGGGGAGACAGAGGCTCAGGAGCAGCTGGAGGCGGTGGAGGATGTGCAGCGCCAGCACTTGGTGGCGGCTGCAAAGCGGGTCTTCCCCTACTTTTTCCGCCCCGACAGCAAGGGACGGTCAAAATCGGGGGCTGGCGACGCGGGCGGCACCTGGACGCAGTTGGGCACGGTGCTGGCGGGCCCCTGCGCCATTAGCCTGGCCCGCCTACAGGGCAATCGCGTCGTAGAGGCGTCTGACTTCGTCATGGAGGTGCGCAGAGCTGATTGACTGCTGCCGCCCTCCACCTGCTGCTGCGCCTGCTGCTGCCGCCGCTGCCGCTCGTGCGCACCCCGCCTGCGCCCTGAATGCCAACACTCCTCGGCATTGCACACAGGAGAGCAAGTTCATGGTGCTGGACATCCAGCAGCACTGGGGCTCTGAGTTTGCACGGGCGGCGGCGGCGGGCGGCAGCGGAGGCACCGCGGTGGGTGGCGTCAAGAAGAAGGCTGGCTGCATCTGCCCCAAATGCAAGCAATGGGGGCTGCAGTCCAAGGGGCCTGTATGGGAAACCGTCATCATCACGGGCACAACGGACGGCTGGTTCTTCACGGTGCCCTGCCGCATGGAGTGCAAGGCGTGCCCAGGTGTGCGTGTGTGTGGGGTGAGCGCGTGTGTGTGCGTGTGCATGCGCCCGCACTTCCCCTCCTTTGCAAGCTGCCTGATGCCTGCGTGTGTGGTGTGCAACCCAGTCCAACCGTCTCTCTCTCGCGCTATGTAGGCAACGGCGGCAAGACCATCTCCTTCACCACCACCAGCGACGAGCTGATGCAGGCGCTGGACGAGGCAGGCCTGGGCCACCTGCCCGACTCGCTGCCCATCGCCTACACCAAGAGGGGCAGCTACGACAAGACCATCCTGCGCCTGGCGCGCGCCATCTACGAAGGCGGAAGCATAGCCGCCCAGGTCAGCTATGTACCTGCCCATGCATCGCAGCCGGTTCTGGCGGCCGCACACAAGCGGGTAGGGCGTGGGGTCTGACTGCTTTTGCCGGCTATGGCCAATTGCAGGCCACGGCGGTGCACCTGCGGGAGCAGCTGGAGGCTCGGCGCCTGCAGGTGCAAGACCGCTACCTGAAGTATGCCGTCGGGCGGCGGCGAGGCAGCAACCTGCTGCCCACTGAGATTGCACGAATCAAGCAGCAAGCACTGGACGTGTGCAAATTGAAGTTCAGCCTGCCGGTGCGTTCGCTTGCCTGTGCGCTGCGCTGCGCTGCTGCCTTCGCCGCCGCAGGGCGACGCTCGCTGCCAGGCCTGCCCGCCCAGCGCCCGCCAGCTCCAGGCTGGCTGCTGCGCTCGCGCTCATTGTCGCACTCCCCGCCACACTCCCCTGCGTTGCAGAGCCTGAGCAACACCTACCTCCGCACGATTGTGCTGAAGGGCCAGGACGACCGCCTAAATTATAAGATGGCGAGCCTGGCATCCATCGACGCCGGGCCTGACGCTGCCGTGAGCGCTGACCACACCTTTTCCGTGATGAAGAAGCTCACTGTCGATGGCGGCAAGCCCTACGCAGCTGTGTTCACCGTGCTTAACTCACGTGCCGAGGTTGTGCTACAGGCACGTCTCGGTCTGTGGTGGTGTGTGGTGCGTGCTTGGAGCTGCCGCATGTCCTCTCACGGCAACCTCACCTGCCCTCCACGCCCTCTCATATGCAGGTCTGCACTCAATCATCATCCATGGAGGAGGTCAGGGACCGGCTGCAATGTGTGAAGGACAACATTGCCAAAACCGGCGGCACGGTGGGTGTGGGTGTGGCTCTGGGCTGCAATCGGCGGGCAGGCGGTGGTGGGGCAGGCTTGGGGGAAAGGGCAGGTGGTGGCGGCAAGGCCAGCGGCAAGAGAGCAGCCCCATGGGTGGGCAGCAGCCGGCGGGCAGGGTAGGTAGGCGCGGTAGCTCGCACTGGCAGGTAAGAGCAGCTAAGAAAGAGCAGCTGGCAGGGGCTGGCAGCGGCAGCTATGCGCCAACGTTGTCTCACCCCGGCTGCCCTTCCCTATCCAAACTACAGCAACCCAAGTACTGGTGGGTGGACTGGCCACAGGGCATGGAGCGGGTGATCAAGGAGGTGTGGCCTGATGCGAAGGTCTACCAGGTGCGCACGGGTGCCAGCCCACCAGCGCCTAACACCCACCAGCACCACCATCTGTGCCCCCAACATCTCTGCACCGCTCCTCCTGTCCTTGCAGGACCTCTTCCACATCTATAAACGCTATGGGGACGCTGTGCCGGATGGCCACAGCGCCAAGGGTGCGTCGCCTCGCCTGCGCTGCCCTCCCTGCCTCCTTGCCAAGCTGACCTGCCCGCCTCCTACCCCCGCCCCCGTCGGCTGTGCCACCCGCCCTCCCTGCCTCCTGGCCAGCTGCCCCCGCCCAGTGCCGGCTGCGCCACCCGCCCTCCCCCTTCCCGCATCCCAACCGAACCGACTGCCCCGCGCGCCTCCTGCCCCACCATTGCTGGCTGCAGATGCCTTAATGGAGGAGGTGCGTGAGTGCTACCAGCTGCCCTTTCGTGGCAAGTGGTCCTTCACCGTCGACGGCAAGACGCGCGAGTACGATGGGGAGCGGCTGCTGGCCGAGTACCGCAAGCTGCATGGCTTGAGCCCTGGAGCTCCCATACCGCATGCCTCACCGGCCTTTCGGGCGTGGTGGAAGAGCAAGAAGGGCATCTGGTGAGTGGGGGCATCGCATGCACCACCATCGTTGCTGCCTCCTTGCCTGTGCCTGCCTGCCTGCCTACTTGCCTGCCTCTGCTTGCCTCTGCCTTCCTGCCTGCCTGCCTGCCTACTTTCCTGCCTCTGCCTGCCTGCATGCCTCTGCCTGCGTGAGTGAGTGAGTGACACTCGCGAGTGACACTTGCCTCCCTTCCCTCCAGGTCGCATCCTGACCGCATAAAGGGGGTGGCCCTGCTGAATCGTTTCTGGACGAAATGGACATCACAGAAGAGCACCTATTGTGCACGGGCAGGGGAGCTGATGGTGGACAAGCTCACAACAGTCCACCAGAACACACTCGCTCTGGTCGCCGCTGGCTACCTAGAGGGTGGGTGGAATGTTCAGGGCTTGCCGCCACCGCCTGGCTGCCGCTGCTGCTACCAGCTGCAGCTCCGCCAGCTGCAGCTCCGCCAGCTGCTGCTCCTGCTGGGCTGCCAAGCGCTCCACCCCTTTCCAATCTGACGATGCATTGCTTTTTGCTTGCCCTGCCCTGTGTCTGCAGACCCGCTGGCCACACCACAGATGTATTTTATGGACAGCAGGGGCATGCCCCGCCCCATCCGTGGCAGCAGCGGGCTCGAGAACATGAACAAGCACTTGCACGAGGCAGTGCCGGGCACACGCATGGGCGAGGCGGGCATGCACAGGGCCATCACCCACTTTGCTTTCAAGTAAGCTGTAGGCAGCTGCCGCCGTCCAGCCGCTGCATGTGGGCAGGCCGGCTGCCGCCGTGGGGCCGCTGCGTGTGGGCCACGCCTCCCGTCCCTCCCCCCCCACACAAAGTTACCCTCACTGCGGTACAGACAAACTGCCAAGCAGCGGCCCATCACTCGCCCAGACGACTTCCCCCAGTACCCCAGTGACGATCACCAGCTAATGCACAGCATCAATGAGAAGGCAGCGCAAGCAGGCGTCCCCTCCGACCAGCTGCCCTACCCACGCATCACGCAGCCCAAGGCAGGCATCACTGTGGAGGACTATGCCGGCGGGCTGCAGCCCCACGGTGCGATGCGGATGCCTGCTGGCATCGCCTCCAGCCTGCAGCAATTGCAGCAGTCCCGGCTGCAACGCGGGGAGGTAATTCGCTCGTTCAACAACAAGCTGGCAGCGATGCATGCCAGCGCCGCCAGAGAGGGGAACACCGGCAATGTAGCGCGAGCGCGGCAGCTCCTGTCACAGGCGTTCGACCTGCAAGCCGCCCTTCGCTTGTTTGAGGGCGATGCTGGCCAGCTCCAAAAGGTGTGTATGGGGACTGTGCGGGTTCCGGGGACAGAGGGTGGGGCGTGTGTGTGCGGTAGCAGGTCGGCAGCGTAGTATGCATGCGTGTGTGTAACAAAGCCCATCCCATCCTCCCCCTCACTCTCTTCCCCACCTGTTGCACATGTGCAGGCATATGCGCAGGAGGTGGATCAGCAGCGGCCACCCGAGGCGTTGGCGGAGCAGCAGGCAGCTGAGGCTGCGGCGCAGCCACCCGAGGCCCCACAGCAGCAGCAACCACCAGAGGCGGTGGCGGCGCAGCAGGCAGCTGAGGCCCCAGCGCAGCAGCAGCCACCAGAGGTGGTGGCGGCGCAGCAGGCAGCTGAGCCCCAAGCGCAGCAGCAGCCACCAGAGGTGGTGGCGGCGCAGCAGGCAGCTGAGGCCCCAGCGCAGCATTGCTGGCAGCCCTCCCCGTCTATGCTCACGTCAGCACCCGTGACGCAGGCGGGCGAGGACGCGCAGGCTGGGCCACTAGTCTCGCAGCAGCCGGCCAGCACAGTGCACGCCACGGCGCCTGAGGTGTCCGGCAGCCTCAGCAGGCCGCAGCGCAAGCGCAAGGCGCCATCCAACTTGCAGCAGTTTGAGGTGGAGCTGGCTGACCCGGTGCACCCGGCCACCGCCAGCAGCCCTCGCCGCAAGATGCGCCCGCCGCCCGCCGCCAGCAGTGCGCCACCTGCCGCACGGCACAAGCCCCAGGCCATGAGTCCCTCCCCCCCTCGCCTCGAGAGCGAGGAGGACAGGGTGCTGCTGCTGGAGCTGGTGGCACCCAGCGCTCGCCCACCCACCACCAATGCTGAATGGGACGCACTGGCGGAGCAGTGGAACACCACATTTTTCAAGCGGCTGGTTGGATCCACGCAAACTCAGCTGCGGCGCACCAATGGCAAGCTCTTGCGCGAGGCGTGGCTGGACCTCGGGCAACGCGAGGCGGCTCACAACACGCTGCACCCGGCAGCGGCCGCTGAGCGAGCAGCAGTTGTCTTGCTGCAGCAAGAGCAGCGGCAGCAACGGAGGCAGCAGCAGCAGCAGCAGCAGCAGCAGCAGCAGCATGCGGCGCAGCCTCTTGCGCCTCCTGTGCAGCCTGGGTCTCAACTGGGTGAGCAGCAAGAGCAGCGGCAGGCAAGCCAGCGGCATGGTGCAGCAGGCGGTGCGCCCCCTACGCTTGCGGTCGCGCCGAAGCGGCGCCGCGGTGAACAAGGTGGTGCTGGAACCAAGCACCTCTGCCGTGCGTGCAGGTGAGCTCAATTTCTAGCTGTCTCTCGTTGCTGCATTAGCTGCTTTGGCTGCTCTGCATGCTTCGCATGTTGCACTGATGTGGCTGCACCCCTTGCTGGCATGGCAATAATGCTTCCTTACACCATGCCTCTTTTCACCAAACCGTCGCTGTGCAGATACAAGGGCTCTTTGGTCTTCATGACAGGCCTGCACAAACTCATCTGCCCCCACAAGGCCGAGTGGGACGCGCTGCCCGACTCTCAGCAAAGGGCATGGTCCAAGAAGTGGTCGGCAGAGGATAAATCAAACGGCCACCTTGCCCGGCAGAACGCGCTTCCAGCATCTGCTGCAGCCGCTGTAGCAGCTGCAGCGGGCGTCACGGCAGCACACGCTGCGCCTGCATTGCCTACGGGGGCACCGACAGCGGCGGTGGCGACGGCGGTGGTGGCGGCACCGGCAGCAGCAGCGCCGCAAGGATTGGCAGGCTGGGCTCGGTTCCCAGGGTTTACCTTAATCACGCGCAGCACGTCGCCACTGCCGCAGCAGCAACAGCCT